TCTACATCTCTACGTCTCTACAAACTATTTAAGATATTAGCCGGGAATGGTGATGTGTGCCTATAGTTTCAGTTACTTGGGAGGCTGAGGTGGGAAGATTGTTTGAGCCCAAGAGTTGAAGCCTGAATTGAGTTATGATTGTTCCACTGCACTCCAGCCTCAGCAATAGAGACCCCATTTCTAAAAAAATAAAGCAAAACCAAACTTACTTGTAATACCATATTCTTATCTATTAGTTTGCTACATGTCTTAAACCAATAATCACAAATGTGACTATTATTTTTTAGATCCTATATTGTCTAGAGTATTGCTACTCAAGGAATGGTCTGTAGACCAGCAGCATTGACATCATCTGAGAATTCTATATAAATGCAGAATATCAGGCCCTACACAGATTTCTAAATCAAAATATGCATTTTAACTAGATTCCCGGGTGATCTGTTTGCATATTAAAATTTAAGAAGCACTGGGTGTACCCACATTTGTCTAATAAATGTGTTTCCTACTTATTTTCAGACATTTGGATCATAGATACATAAAGGGATGTTAGAAATGATCTAACCCTGCATTTCCCCCCGTGTATTCCATGGACAATCATTGCATACAATGTCAGTAGGAGTTATGCTGAAAAAGTGTAGGAAATGCTACTGGTTAAATAATGCAAATAGTTTTCTTATTACTGGTTTCTAAGAATCTTTAATAAGCTAATATGCATTGTGACTCTCCAGGGAAGGGGGATGAGATATAAAACAGTGAATATATTGCAAAACATGTGAACATAGGACATTATTTTCACCAGATATTTTACAGGACTAGTGTACCTATCTTAGTCTGTCTGGGCTGCTACAACACAACACCTTAGACTGGGTCACTTATAAGTCATAGAAATTTATTTCTCTCAGTTCTGGAGGTTGGAAAGTCCAAGAACAAGGCACCAGCAGATTTGGTGTCTTGTGAGGGACCTCTGCTTCCAAGAGGCAACTTGTTGCTGTGTCCTCACATGGCAGAAGGATGGAAGGACAAAAGGGTAAAAAGGATCAAACAGGGTCCCTTAAGCTCTTTTATAAGGGCACTAATTTCATTCATGAGAGTGTTACCCTTGTGACTTAATTACCTTCTAAATTCCTCACCTTTTAATACTATTGCCCTGGAGATTAAGTTTCAATGTATGAGTTTTGAAGGCACACACACATTTAAACCACAGCAGTACCCTTTGATACATTTTGAAAAATATTCAGTTAATATGAATATCTCACTTAATAGACTCATATTTTTAAATTTCATCTTATTATTTGATAAATATAAGGTAATCTACTCTAACTTCTTGTTGATTTTTAATAGGAATGTGACTGCTGCTGTACTGGTTATAAAAATAGACCCAAACTGTAATGTGTTGTTCATATGAGTCCAGGGGTTTTCTAGGGTGAGAAAGTAAGTGGGTGTCATGTACTGTGAATGTCTGGGATCTTATCCTATTTGCAAGCCTACTACAAATTAGCCCGTAATAGTTTCATGGAAGTTAGTAGAAGACATGAAATTCTTGGGTCAGAGACAAATGACTTTATTACTCATGCCATAGAAAGCAACATAAGCTTCATGTTTATATCAGTTACCCCACATCTCTCAAGTCCCACAGGAGCAATATGGATTGTCCCTGGTGAGTGTTGCTCATGGAGAGAGATTATGCCAAAGCTAAGGATCCTAGAGCTTAGAGAACCCACAACTTTTTAAATGAGCTGCAAGCATAGCTGCCTTTTGCCCTATAGAGAGATACTATCTTTATTATATGGTACAGTAAACAAATCTGTCCTTTGCTTCCAAGGGAGACCCTATCTATCTTTCAAGGTTGTTCACTATACAAACTTTCTTGAAAAGACAGCTCAGAACAAAGGGATTCAATGCTTTTTTTAAAAATAGCCTTGATTCAAGAATTGCAGGGATTGAGCACTTTTACTCATAAGGTGTGCAAAAAAAAAAAACAAAACAGCAATAACAACAACAAAACAAAAAACCTGAGAGACCCATGGAGAATTGTATCCCAAATTTTCTAGGGGTGAGAAAGGGAGTAGGTGTTCTGCTGCATGGAGTTATTCAGTAATTCAGACTGATAGTGAGTCTACCATGTTCAACACATGGCTTCTAAAGTCACTCTGGCTATATTTGTTGAGGTAGGAGTGGAGTTCATCATTCCTGACAACTGGAAGGGCAAGAGTTTGGCAGTGCATACATGTGAGGGTTCATGAGCCAGGTTTGGAAGTGGTGCATACCACTTGCTAACACTCTATTGCCTAGAACATGGCCACATGGCCACATCTCATTGCACAGGAGAAGGGGAAATGTAGCTTAGCTCTGTGCACAGGAGGAAGGGGAGAACAGGTTTTGAAGGCCACTCTACAGTCTCTACAACATTGCCAATTTTGGTGACTTAGCTATTAGTTTCTCTGTTTTCATCTCAGGTGAAAAAGTGTAAACATACATATAAATGCCTTGGAGTGGGGCTTTATATCTCACAGTGTCACAGAATTTGGGGACTAGAAGGGCCCTTAGAATCATTAGTTCCAGCCATCTTTCCCTCCTTACACCTCCAGTCATTTTAGAGGGGTAGAAGAAACTGAAACTCAAAGAAGTTAAATGGCATAGCTTCATAGCTTACTAAACACAGATGGTTAGTCAGCTGAGTTGAGATTTTCAGATCTCTGTTCCACTACATTTTGACCTAGATCAAACTTGCAAGGTCACAGGACCATTTTGTATTTTAAATTATCATTCCCCAACTACCTGTTT